GTGGTGGCTTGACTTGTCCCGCCTGGTGGCCGGGGCACACGGGACACAGAACTGGAGAGACTGGAGGTCGGGCACCGTGTCCTGGTCGGGGCGGAGGGGCCTGGACTCAGTGGCAGCCCCCGAGGCCTGGTCACCCATCTGTGGGACGGGGGTGCTTGGAGAGCACGTGTGTGGTGGGTGTGAGCTCTGCTCCTCGGAGCCCCAGCGTAAGGGAGCTTAGGGGCTTTGCAGGAGTGTGAATTAAATTCTGTTAATATCATCCTAGCTTGCTGCTGAAGTGTAGCCACCAGGGATCAGTGTGCGCGCGCAGTCATGTTCACAGCTTAACCCGCAGGGCCCCGGGCGGGTGACCGCGTGCCCTCGGGGAGGTACTCGTGGGCAGTCGTCGGAAGTAAAGGTCGTGCCGTGTGTCCGCGTGAACGTCTCAACCACGTGTCGCCAACTGCAGGTTTGCTTGCCTCAGAGCTGTTCTTGGTTTGAACGTGGGCCCGGCTATGGCTGCCGGGTGTTTCCGCCCTCCATGCTGACCTTCCAGGCAAGACTGGGTGCCAGGCCCCCGGCCCACAGCAGCTCGGAGCGAGGGCTCCGCACAGCGGGGCGGTCCTTCCTGGGGTCGGTTGCCCCGCCCCGTCTGCGTGCTTCCTAGAGGAGCTGGCCAGCCCTCTGGGCCTCCTGCCCCGCAGGCGAGTGTCACGGCACGGCCCCTTGGCACCGGGATGCTGCGGTGGCGGCTGGAGGTGCGGTGCGAGGCCAGGGCAGAACTGCGCTGAGCGAGAGAAGGTCGTTCAGGTGTTGCCTGCAGCTTCACAGCGTGCGTGTCCTTTCATCCTTCCTTGAAAGTAGATATCCTTAGGCTGGGGGTTTTCTGATGAAGACGACATTACAGTGGGCTGCAGCGGCCCGTCACAGTGCAGAGACGGGTTCTCAAGAGCTCAGGCCTTACTTCCTTCCGCAGACGCCAGCTCAGAAAGGTACTGATGGGTGAACGCCCTCTCCCCTGAGAACTGAGGGCTTCATTTTGAACTCCCAGAGGTTCACGGAAATGCCACTGACTTCAGGGTTCAACGTAAGCACGGAACCAGAGGTTTAGTTTTTCATGGGTTTTCTCCTCTTTACTTCACAAGGAAGGCGCGATTGAACTAGAGGGCGTTCCGCAGGGAAGAGGCGGCCATGTGGTGCTGGCGCTCTGGGTCGGGCCTCTGCGGCTCGGGGACCCACAGGCCTCTGTTCGCAGAGCGGTGGCCGACGGGCCTGCGGCCCAGGCTGCAGGAGGCCCTCTCTGGAGAGGCTGAAGTTGTGCTCTCACCCCCTGGCACACGAGGACAGGGGAGGGCCGCCCGTTGGCAGGTGTTGTGAGAAACCACTTTGGGGCACTTCAGGGGGAGTTATTGGAAACGTCAGAAAACCGCACTCCTGTACAAGACCAGGCCCTGTTTGTGCCAGTTCGTCTACCCCTTTCCCCCGAGGCCCGGCTGTTCACGGTCCCTCCTCTCCCGCCCACCGGGACGTCCCCACCCTGCGGGGTCGCTCCCTCGAGCACACCCTGTGCTCTTGCCTGCTCCGCCGAGAACCTGGAGACCCAAGCCAGCGCCTCCTGGGCCGCCCCCTCCACCCGCGTTGTTCTGAGAGGTCCTGTCTCTGCTCTCCGTCTTTTCCCCTCCCGCTCTCTCCTGCCCTCTCCATGCGGCCCTTCCCGGTTGCTCTTCCTCCCCTTTCTGTCTGTGCCCTCTGACCCCTCCTGGCCCCTGGCGCACACCCAGCGGCTTCAGACCCCCTCGTGCTGCCCTCTGGGGCGGTGCGGTGCCCTCTCACGTAAACAGAGCCTCTGCCCTGCTCTGATGTAGCCTCTGGGTCCTTCCCTGCTTTCCCTCCCTCCCGAGCTGATCACGTATTTGCCGCTTCTTGTCCATCTTCTGCCCGTGGCAGTCCTGCACTCCAGCCTCCCTTTCCCAGCTGGCGCCCTTTGCGACCCGCGTGGAGGGGTGCTGCCGGGAGAGCCGCAAGGCCGCGGGGAAGGAGGCCTGTGCTCAGTGCTTCTCCCGGAAGGGGGTTCCTGCCGCTCCCTTTCCTGCCCGTGGCGCGGGGCAGCCCTTCCCCTCCCGGCACCACCCACTCCGGCTGGTGCAGGCCCGATGGCAGTGGTGCCCCTGCAGAGGCGTGGGTCCCAGTGCTCTCGGTCTCCAGATGGAGCGATTTCAGGGGACCCCAGCTTCTCCCTGAAGCTATCCGGGCGCCTCTTTCTCCTCTTTCACTTACCAGTGAGCCGTGCCCTGGGTTAAGCCTCTGCTGCACAGAACGCACGGCGTCTTCCCCGAGACCCGCACCGTTCAGAACGAGAGCCTGGGGGCTGGGGCCCGTGGTCGCTTGACCCCTGCTGTCTCTCCGGGGCTGGGCCAGTTTGTCACCGGGGCTCAGGAGAGTCAGAGCCAGGCTGCGGCGGCCCAAGCAGTGCTCTGTGGGCAGTGCCAGCAGCACCGCCTCCTGTAAGTTGCCCAGGTTGGTTATTTAGGTCTAGTCCAGCTTTAAAAAAAACTGAGTACTGATGGAACGTTAGGCCTCATGGCAGGCCTTGGAACTCGGGGTGACACGGGGCTGGCGAGCCTGAGGGTGGAGCGCCTCCACTGGAGACCCCAGGAGACCCCGGCCTGGGCCGAGCGCCACTCGGGCCAGCCTGCCGGGGGCTGCCCTCCCAGGGCTGCTTGCGGGTGCCTGGGGTTGTGTGTCCCCTGCTGCATTGCTTCCCATCTTGGTTTCCTGAAGAGCAGGTGGCGCGGGGAAGGACAGGTGGTTTTTCTAAGCGGGCCGGAGCTTTGCCCACCTGGGCCCCGAAAGGCTCGGTCGTCACCTGTGGGTGCTGCTGGACGTGTGACTGGCACTGTGTCCTGCACTTGACATACTTGTTCTTGCGACATCTTGGGCCTGGTCTGGGGCCTCAGGCCCACCTGCGTTTTAGGGGCCCACACAGTGAGCTGGCGGTGACAGGCTAGGTGCAGGTGAGGTGGCCCTGGGCCGGGCCCCAGGAGTCGGGGTCTCCAGCTCTCTGCAGGTGGACAGCAGTTACCCTGTGGCCTTCATACCTGCCCTCGGGGGGAGACCTCCAGACCTCTGTGTGGGGACGTCGTGCTCCCGAAACCCTGGGTCTTGGGGTTTGTCAGTTCCCACCAGGGCTGTGCCCAGAAAGCTTGTGCTCAGAGCAGCCCCGCCCCCTGCGAGCTGGCCTCGGCAGCTTGGACACGGGAGCCCGAGGGCCTCTAATTAAATCACACGGCGGCGCAGTGATTCAAAACGCTGTGCCCTTGCCCACCTGAAGTCCGTGATTCCAGAGTTGATTTCACAGCCCTTGAGTATTAAATTGGCGTATGAACAGTTTTAAATTGAACTAGCACTCAAAATGGCCTCTTTAAATGTCTGTTTCAATGAATGCTTTTACTTGTTTTGTTTTGTTTTATTTTACATCTTTGGTTATGAAGCACGTAGAGGTGGTAGGTGCCCTCGGCCAGCTGTGCAGGGGGACTCGCTCTTAGAGGAAGGCTTTCCGCGGTGGCTGCGAGGGGCGAGGTGCGGGGCCCCGGGTGAGAACGCTGCTCCGGCTCTGAGACCAGGCGTTCCCTGAGTCTCTTACAAAGTCCCGTCAATGCGTGTTCCACGTTTACTCTCAAATTGTAGTTAGCTCTTCAAAGAATTATACTAAATTACGATGAAAAGTAACCCCATACTCACTCAGATGTGAAATGGAAGAAATTAGCACAGCGGAGACCACCTCCAAAGAAAGCGTTGTCTGCCATCCCTGTGGATTAAGGCTTTCTTGAAATCGTGTAATCAAAGCAAAGAAAGAAAAAATTGGACACCAAGAATGATACAAGATGCAGGTGGTGTTGTCTCTAGCGCCCCTCAGCTCCAACCTTCATACTTTCGAGGTCATTTCGTTGTCACTGGGCGTCACCCCAGCTAAACGTTGCAAACAGCACCTTGTAATATAACCCTGGTAGGACCTCAGAAGAAGACCACAGAAGCAGAGTATTAAAGGTTTGTCTTGGAAAGAGGTTTCCTCTGCTTGAAAGAAGAGCATGGACACGGCACCGTCGGCCCATGCTTCACGGTTCACCCGCCCACCCGCCGGTGGGGTTAGCGCCTCCTTTTCCTGGGGCGTCCTCCCTCCCGGGAACTCTCCTGATCACCGTCCCCTCAAAAAGCCGGGGGGGTGTCTGCGTGTGGCCACCTCCCGTGTAGGTGGGGCAGGACGGGGGTTCCTGAAGCCTGTGTGGGAACAGGCAGGGCAGAGGACGGTCCCTACAGGGTGTGAAGGACTGATGGAGTTTTGAGGGAAAGAGCGGCAAAGACCAAACTCTGAAGGTGCCCTGCCAGGAAGTTGGCATGTGAGCCCATGGGTGCCCATCCGATCTGCAGTCTGAGGGGCGGCTTGGTGGCACTGGAGGCTGCCCAGGCGAGAGGCTGTAACGGTAACCGGAGAACAACGTCAAGTGTGTGAACTGAGGCAGGGCGCTGGCCGCGGAGGGAAGCGCATGCCCCGGGGTCTGCCCCCTGCTGTCGGAGCTCTGCGGGGGCTCGACTCTGCAGGATGTCTGTGGAAGGGGCCCGCCCTGGGCTGGTACTTGACGCCCCCGCGCCGCACGGAGCTGCGCATCTGTGGCCGACTGCGGTCCGGGTGGGCAGCGCCTGCCCTGGTGATTCAGCTCCTTCAGAGGCGCCCTCCCGAACGAAGCCCGCGTTGCTGGCGTTTTCCCCATTGTGTGTGGAGCTGAGCTTCCCTCCCCCGCACCTTCCGTGTTCTGGGATCACCCTGGGCGACTCTTTGAAATCCAGAAGCTCCTGAAAGGCTTTAAGTAGCTATTCAGAAGTGAGGAAGCGACAGCGGGCTGGTTGCACGTGCGGCTCTATGTTGGGACCTGAGTGACGTGGGCCGCGCTGGGCCTGGGGGCCGTCACTGGGTGCTGTCCTGGGGGCCAGGCCTCATCACTCTGCCCTTTTGCCTCTTGCAGTGCCCGGGGGCTGGAGAAGGCCAGGCTGCAGCTCCAGGAGGAGGTCCGCCAGCTCAGCAGCCAGCTGCTGGAGGAGAGGAAGAAGCGGGAGATGCACGAGGCCCTGGCCCGGCGGCTGCAGAAGCGCGTCCTGCTGCTGACGAAGGTACGGGGCGCCTGCGCGGGGGCCTGCCTTCCGGGCCAGCAGCTCCCGGCCCGCCCCTGCCGTGTCCACGCTTAGTCTTCTCTCCAGGCCCCCACGTTTGCCAGGGTCTCTACCAAGTGCAGTGCACCCAGAGCCACCAGTGCTCTGTGTCCCCACTTCTCGGTCAGTTAGACACGCACGGCGCTGCCTGTGAGTCACGGCCCACGTCAGACTGAGCTCCCCCCTCACCAAGGGGGGGCCTCTCCTCCTTGTGAAGGGCAGAGCCCGGGGCCTTCACGCACTGACCTGGGGTATCGGGATGTCAGCCCCGACCCCCGTGTCTCACGGTGGGGTCAGCCCTCCCTCCGGCCTGGTGGGCAGGTGCAGCCTTTCCCTCCTTCGGAGCCCAGGGAGCGCAGGGTAGACTGCAGTGGGAAACTGTCACCTGTGTGCAGGTGCGCCGGGCGGGATGCGTTCCTGCTCCCAGCTCCGTCTGGGCGGCCGGCTTTTTGCTAACTGTGCTGAGCCCGAGGGGCTCTGGCGTCTGGCTTGATAACACACAGCTCGCTGGAGCATGAATTACGATTTTTTTGTGAGAGAGCATTATTTAAAGTGTTGCCTTGGATGCTGAAATTTCAGAAGACAAGGAAGGAAAAAGCCAGAAACTGTCCCCAGATGTTCTCTAGGCGAGGGTTGGGGTTGTCCAGATGCTGGCGGACTCCTCCCACCTGCCCTCAGGCTGATGGTGAGCGGCCAGGTGGGTGCGCTGACCTGGCGGGCGGGGGCGGCGGGCTGGGGGCAGGGGCGTCCCCCTGGTAAGTTTCAGGAGTCGCGTCTGACAACTGTTTGCCTGTTCTTGATCCTTTGATAAACACCTGGGACCTCCTGGTCATGAAGCTTTTAGGAGGCAGGTCACATTCCGGCTGCTGAAAGCTCGCCGTGTCCCGACCTCTCCAGCACGTCCCCTGCCGTGTGTGTCACGTCACTCAAGCTTCCTGGGGTCAGACTTGGCCGACCTCGACGCCAGCCTTGCCGGTGGCCCCACAGGGGAGACGCCTGGCGAGTTTGCGAGCTGTCCTCGTGCGGGGCCCGTCGGTCTTGTCCGTGTCGTCCACTTCCAGTGCCCGTGCCGCCCAGCGAGTGTCCTTGTGGGCTGGGTTGGCGGCCTGGCGGCTCTGCTTCACCAGGGCCGCACCGGTGCACTGGTACAGGTCCCGCTGGGGCACCGGGCGGCCCCTCAGCAGGGGCACATCTCCAGCGCCGCGGGCTCCGCGGCCTCGGGATCCATCGGCACCTCCATGATCGTGCGCTGTGCCTGGCTTCCTCCTCGGGCAGTTTCTGGCCTTGAAGGTCACTGCTCTGGGCTCCCGAGGCAGGAAATTTCCACTCCTCTCTTCCCGCTGCTCAGCAGGTTGGAAGCTGATGGCGCTGTTTGGTCTAATTCGGTCCTGGCCCTGGCCCGCTGCGCTGACAGGCGTAGCTCTGAGAGAGAGCGGTGGGGGGCGGTATCGATCGCCCGGCGCTGACAGATGACTTACACCAACTGTGGCTCGGAGGCACGTTTGCCGTGGGTCGGTGGCCGGGTCAGGCGCGCGGGGCCCATCTTGCCAGCTGCATGATTAAGCTGTTCGGCCGGCCGGTCTGCAGAGGGCGGCCAGGCTGCCGCTTTCTGGTTGGAGCCGAGCACGTCCGGCCCCCCACCCCGCCCCGCCCTCGGTGGCCCCGTGGGCTCGCACGGCGGCTCCCGCGTGGTCTGTGTGCTTCCCGCTCGAGGCACCTCCAGGGCGGCAGCTGTCGGGTCTCGAGGGTGCTCTGGTTGCTGATCTTCCTGTGTTCCTTGGGAGACACCCCCACCCCTCTGGGAGCCCCCGGACCAGCTCCCTGGGGTAGGGCGTGGCGAGTGCAGTGACCCGCCCTCCGCTGCGGCACTGGGCCAGGTGCGCCGACAGGGCTCTCCTGCACCCCATCGAGGGCTCTATTTGCGTGTTTGACATTTCAGAGTACAGTGCTTGGAATGTGTGATTTTATTTTGAGACCTTATTAAGCATCTCTAGTCTAAGGGCTTAATTGTTACTGATAGCTAAGAGTGTAATTACCTTGGTAAAATACCATGACTATTTTAAGCAATTGAAAATTGGCTTCCAGAACTGGGTGAACACAAACCATTTTCCTATTTGAAATGAGCTATTTCCAGCGTGCCCCTAATATTCCACAATATGGTTACAGAATTGTATTTATAGACTCTAAGCAGTGAAAGCTAATTTATAGCATGAATTTTTTCAAAAAATGAAAGTAAAAGCCTCCCTTCCCCCTCTTTCCTACACCCCCCGACCCCCATTTCCTAGTGGAGCAGCCTTTGGAGGGGGACACCTGTCATTGGTGTCTTACCTCCAGGGTCACGGTCTGGCAGTGATGTCGTCCCCCCGCCCCCGTGGGACCCCCACTGTTGCTGCTTAAGAAACAAATACGTGGGCAGAAGGTGAGCTTTTGGGAAATTGAGGCAGGAAGCACATGGGGATGTCCCAGAAGAGGCCAGAGCTCCTCTTGCCTTGTGTCCAGAAGAGGCTGTCCTGGAGGAAGGCTCCCGGGAGCAAGTCTCCCTGGGCCGGGGGAGCAGTCGTCGCTCGGGGGTCCGTCGACTGCCGGGACTCCCTCCCTGCCCAGGATCGTCGTTACGCCCAGGAGGCTGCCCTCAGGTGTCCTGGTCCTTTTCTGACGGAGGGGCTTTGGTTGGCTGTTGGGATTTGTGCTGTTTACCTTGTGTAAACCTACCTCTTTATGTTCCTCGTGTTCGCTCGACAGCTTTGAGAAATCACCTGTGGTTTGGCAGGAGCTGTGTGATGGTGAGGCTTGTCCAGCTGCCGGCCGAGCCGCAGTGGGGTCAGCAGCTCAGCAGCGGGGCGGCCCAGGCTTGGGCCAAGGGTGGCACATCCCTGTGGTTCTCTGCTGAAGCCCAGTGCCTTCCAGAGCTGCGGGTGCCGACCCATGAGACCAGGAGAGTAGCCTGTTCGCTCTGAGGTTCTCCATTCCTTCCCGATCTCAAGTAGCTCAGCCCTGCAGGGATGCGGGCAGTTCCTGCTTTGTACGTGGAGAAGTTGGGGTGTGCGTTAGGTCAGAAGGAGTGGGGAGACTCCTGGGTTAAAGTCAACCTTCACATCCTTGAATTCTGTCCTGGACAGCAGGTGATGAGTTTTCTGGAGGGAATATAGGCAGGTGGTAGGCTCTGTGTCCCTGGCGAGGGCAGGCTCGGCGGTGGCCCCGCTTCTGTGGGCACGTCGAGGTGTGGAATGCTGCTCGCAGAGCCTGTTCCCACAGTGCCTGTCCCGGGGTGCACCCCCACCCCCAGTTGTGGGAGAGTCCCGGCCCCCCGGGTCTGGCTCTGGTTTGACTCACTCTGGTGGGCACGGGGCACCAGCTCGTTGTGTGAGACCCTGGAGCCTCGTGAGGTGCGGGCCTCCACGTCCTCTCTGTGAAGGGCCCGCTCCCGCCTGGCCCTCCCGGTTCGGGGGTTTTAGAGGGCTGTTTCCGCCCTGAGCCGGTAGGAGTCTTGGTTGGAGACGCCTGAGGCAGACGTCCTCTCCTGGGCCCTCCTCACTCCTCCCCGTGCCTGGGGATGGCAGCGGCGGCCGCCTGCGTGCGGCCCAGCTGTCGGCTCTGCTGCCTTGATGGCGGCTCCTGTGGCTCGTGGTGGACTGACCTTTGGAGGCGAGGAACTCTTCTCTTCGCTCTGATTTACTGTCTTGCCTTTTACATTTGGGTGTCACCTGCACCTGGAGTTGGTTTCAGGTGTGAGTGAAGCAGGTGACAAGGTGATTTTCCCCATTGATAGTGCCATTGGTCCAGCACCGCTTCTGGAAAGACCCCTCTGTTCCCTGGGTGTGGTCTCGTTGCCTTAAGTGTCAGTCAGTGACCGCCGATGGGCAGCTCGGCCTCTGCGTCCTCCGTTCTGCCCATTGGTTCTGTCTGTCTTTCTGCCAGCACCACCCTGTCTCCACTGATGCAGCTTTATTGTGCTTTGATGTCTGGTAGTGAACGTCCAGGTTGATGATTGTTCTGTAAGTTTCTTGGGCTCCTTCTGGTCCTTTGCACGTCCTTATACATTTCAGAATAAATTTGTTTACACACAAAAAATCTCCTGGAATGTGGTTGGGATTACAATGAATAAACTAGTTTGGGGAGAAATGACACCTGAACATTATTTCATTTTCTGAACCAGAGCATTATAATTCTTCCGCTTCTTTGGATCTTCTTTAACTTCTCTCAGCAGCATTTAGTAGTTTTAGGGTAGGCGTCTTGCACGCTGTTAGATGTCCCCCCAAGTGTTTTCTGTGTCGATGTAATGGTGTCTCACGGATTTTGCCTTCTCTGTGTTGGTGCCGGGCTGTGGAAGTGCAGCTACGCGTCTGTACCTAATAGTCCTGCTAAATCCGCTAGCGTGAGAGCAGGTCTCCCCGCGGATGAGCCTGGCTGCCTGCGGGTGCTTGGCTCACGCAGATCTCAGGAAGCTTCAGCAATTCACCGCTGAGGGCCACGTGTGCCGTTTGTTTTCTGTAGATACTCCTTATTGGATTAATGAAATCCGCATCTGCTTGTAGTTTTCTAAGAGTTTCTCTCATAAATGCCTACCCGTGAATTTTGATGTGGGTTATTTTTATTATTCTGTTGAAAATATTTTCTCACATTCTTTCTGGATTTGTAAAGGCCGACCTTCAGGCAAGGTTTACATGTTCTAAGCTCAGAATGTAGGCGGATGGGAAGGCTGGAAAGGAATCGAAAGAAAGAACCCGAACTCATTCACTCACTTTGTCCTTCACTTTGTCGTTGCACAGATTCTTATGGGGCGTCTGTTCTAGGCACCGCTTAGGCGGCAGTAGAGTGGGCAGGGCTCTGAGCTCCTGGGGTCTCCCTGAGGTTGAGAGGGAACAAACAAACAGAGAAGAGGAAGCTGGAGAAGCCAGGGAACAGCGCCCAGTGAAGGAGGAGACTGCTAGAGCCTGGTGGGTGGGTTAGTTTTATGTTCT